ACACACACACACACACACACACACACACACACACACACACACACACAGCCATATAAGTGCTTCTTATTCGGCTGTTGTCTATCTGTCTGTTTACATATTAAATGGATTACATTGATAACAAAGTATTACAACAAAAATCACGTACCTGATGTCATCTCTGAATTCTTATTTTTGCTTTTTCTACAGTAATAAACAAATCTTGCTATCCAAAAAGTTTTTAGTGCTTAAAAGTGCTTATGTACTGCTTACGGTATATACGAAAACGAAAAATGAAATTAAAATAAAAATAATGGCAGTTTTAAGTCCAACGTTTTCTTATTCCTTTTGAAAAAGCTAAGCGATATTTTCAAACTCGGCCCTTATCGTTGGGATATTAAATATTTTTACATTTACTATGCGTACATAGTTTTTTTTGTATATGTAGTAAGTGGAATATCATATAATGTAATGTAATATAATGTCTGCAGTCAATAATATCTAATACTAACTATTTTACTTAACTATTTGTTTTTCATTTCGTATTCATAAAGTTTACGTCATAGGATAAGAGTATTATTTAAAGCTATCATTAAACTGCCTGTGACCTATCGCGTTCTCCACCAACTTAATTTCGGCTCTTATGCTTTTCGTTGGTAGCACTTTTGTAATTAGCATACATATACATGCAGCGCAGAACATGCAAGAATTTTGAGCACGACAGCTAAATTGACTCAATTCACTTAAAATTTTACGTTAATTACCATCATATGTATAGATATATAGATAGAGAGGAGGAAATTAAGATAACTCCCGTAACAGTTACTTGTAAATATCTACTATTTAAGTATAGCGTGTGCTTGTGTCTCTCTCTATCTTTCAGTTTCGCCCATGATTTGGGTGCCAAATCAACTTGTGGGAGCTCCAGCTGGCACCGATGTCACCATTGATTGTCATACCGAAGCACATCCTAAGTAAGTTTTTCGTGTGTTTTGTTGCGATTAAAAATTTAATATACAAAAACAACAAAACAAATTACATATCAATGAAATTTGCTGTCATTTTCGTTCCATTGCAATTGCAATTCTTTGCTCAGGGCTATTATTTATTGGGTTTATAACTCTGTCATGGTGTTGCCGAGCAAGAAATATAAAACGGATTACGCGGAAAACTCGTACAGGTAAGCCTTTGCCAAACGAACAAAACAATGTGAGTATTAAAGTAGATTGAGACGCGAGAGATAATAAATATTGCGCGGAAACGCGATAGCTTAGGTGCATATGCAACAACAAATTCATTGCTCATTTCTCTGTAATAATTAAATTTGTATTCGGCAATTGATCGTTAGTAGAGTTGCCACATTTCTTTGTTGGCTTTTCGAAATTAAAGACAAGACGATTACTAAAAGCCTAGCATCTCCCACACACACACACACACACACACACACACACACACAACTATACATATAATATTCATTATTTAATGAATATCATCGTCAAATATGTGTTCGAACTGTGTTAAATTGCGTGTTGTATTGCAATTCAATAGGAGAAAATGTGTTTCGGCTAACGCGACGTATACATGTTGAAGTATATATACCCTGATGAATATTTTCCCAAAATGTCCGCAAAAATTTCAGTTTTCGATTAGTGCGCAGCACACTTTGTAGTTGAAACCTATGCGAATGCATTAGTAACTGCGAACGATAGCTATATACATATATATATATATACATAATATATGGAAGTAAAACGTGTTGTAAAATAAAACGAGGATAGGAGGAAACGTTCACGCAGTTTCATTCTGGTCGCCCAGCTTTTATCGGCGCCGGTAACCAATCAAGGATTAAAGCAACGTTGACAGCAACACTCGTGTAGAAAGATTATGGAAACTTGGATTGGTGAACAGATTGAATTTGATTTTTCTTAATGATATTATGTATGCAGTTTCATGGATTTGTTTTTATAGAGGCTTCGTAGTGATCTTTTAAGATTAGGAAAAACTGAATTTAGACAAAGTCCCTTATGTGGTTGGACGAAGTTCAACTTGCTCGATAGGAAGCCATCAGCCAATATATATCTATATATATATATATATACATATGGGTGCGCCTGTATTTTAATATAGTCGATAATGCAGTTTTCAGTTTAAAATCATTTTACAAACATATTGAAAAGATGGTGCCAAAATTTCGTTAGCAAGCATTTATCGCTTACCATATATACGGAATGTATATGTATTTGTATGTATACGCATACGTGAGAGTTAGCATTTGTAGAAAATATTCTTTTCATTTTTGTTGTGCACTTTGCTATTATTTTACTTTCAGAGCACATATGAAACTAACGATAAGAAATTTGCAATATGGAGACTTTGGTAACTACCGTTGCATCTCAAAGAACTCCCTGGGGGAAACGGAAGGATCGATACGTGTTTATGGTAAGTGCAGGATACTCAAAAACTAAAGCAAAATACAAAACATGTTAGAATAAACTTACAACTTGTGTTTATATAAATGGATATATATATATATATATATATATACATATATATATGTATATATTAATACTTATCGCTTGTACATATATTGCTATGAGCATTAGCTAACTTTTACAATGCATATACGTAGGTTAATGTGAAAGTATTGAGCCTCTAGACTGTAAAAACTCCAAGGTCCATTTTTCACGTATACTTTTTAGTTTTTAGCGCTAATTAACGCGTATGTGTTAGCAGGGTCGATATTTTTTTTAAAAAAATGTAATAAGTGGAGTTTTGTTAATCTGATGGAATTCAAGTACACATGTACGTGGCTGACGATCCTTGTGTTCGATTCCAAGGTTTCTTCTTTGCTATTGACTAAATTGTGGCCTTTCTCGCACATAGTATCTGCTAATGTGGGTGTGTTTCGTTCGACAACTAAAAAAAATTTTATATTAGTGTTTTATTGGTGCTCTCTCTCTCTCTCTCTCTCTCTCTCTTTCTCTCTCTTTTATTAAACTTCCCAAAGTAAATTTTTATTGAACGCTCGAATCTTTGCAACAAAGTAGCATATTAAACCTAAAGATAGACACAAGTAACGCTTCGGCTTCCTACATTAACGTAGATTTTCCTTTCAATGGGCACGCTATTCACTTTACGCTAAAGATAAGAAGTATTGAAAAAACGTTTGGGCATGCAATCATTAACTAAATTCGAATATTATTTTAAATAGTTTTAATTTTCGATGAAAATGCTTCAAAATGTGCACCGCAAGTGCTTGTGATTCCAAGTCGATTTTGCTGGCGATTATTCTTTTTCCTTTGTGAATAATGTATTCATCAAATGGCAAGTTTCTATACTCATTTTCCCAAGCCACTATATGAAAAAGAAATACACTCAACTTTTAGATGGGGTTCGCAAATATTTAAGAAAATTTCACGTATGCGACGGTTTATGGGCGTTTGTGGGGCCGATTATGCCGATCTCCGAACACAATCTAGGGCTGCGGTGAAGGCGCTAACTATAAACTTTTTATTCCGATTTTTGTGTTTATATGCGCTCTCAAGTAGCGGAGCATGGATTGATAGAAAGGTAAGAATGAATAAATCAGATCGGAGTTTTATTTCGCTTTAAAACGCAAATAGATCTCTTATGATCTCTTTTCCGCTTGGATGCCATAAAAATAGATACATTTAAAATGTGTGTTAATTTCTCGGGTGCTCGTATAATAACTTTATGTTATAAAGAAAATCTATTTATAAATGTATTCATTGCAGTCCATTCGAAAAAAAAAAATTGAAACATTTCAAATATTTTAGCATTTTTTCGATTGCAATGAATGCTCATTTAAAATTTCGCAAAGTGATGCATAGAATAAAGTAAAAATAAGTTACATAAGCATTACATTTTGGCAAGGTCGATTATTGAATACTCTATGTCATATCGCTTAATAGAATTCTTTAGCTATTTTCATCATAAAATATTAAATTGTTACCATATAAAAGAAGGCGATTTAAGGAGGCCGGAGGAAAAAGGTTTATCTGAATCAATTTTAGCAGTGTGAGATCATAAGTGAAATCATTATTATTATTATGGACCAACATCCAATTTAATTAGTAAAAATTACGGTTTATTACCTTATAAAGGTTTACATTATTCGTGAGAACGAATATGTGGGCGAAGGCTTGAGATGGATTTAGTAAGATTTAGTAAAGTCAAATACAAAAAAAAAAAAACTTCTTAAATAGAATGATCGCAATTAATTTTCAATAGTGTCTTTCGTCTTTGGGTCAAAAGGCGCCGGAGAACCCTTCTGCGCGTTACATGCATCCGCGCATATCTAATTGATTCTTATCCCCAAATGGTGTAGGGTATAAGAAGTGTTAATATTTCTATGCATGCAACAGATTTTCTGATGACTTTACTAAAAATTTTTGCAATTTTATAAGAAGAATTGTTTAAATATTTATTAAAATGGAAACTTTCGTATGAATGAATTTTATTTGAGAAAAGCCGGAAACAGAGTAATATTAAAAAAAAAAAAAAAAAAAATTCCTTTATATTTATCTATGAATTTTTTGTTTTAGTTAAAAATTAAATTTTATATAGAGTTTGGTTTCTTTGTCGGAACCAACGAGAAGAATTTTTAATATTTATTTTGTTATGAATAAAGAGAAATATTTCTTGCGAAATGGAAATGTGTTTTTGTTTATTTACAGAAATACCTCTGCCTTCAACGCCGTCTAAGCAAGTGACTCATTCCACTGTCGAGACTAGAGAGAGTAAGCATGCATTGCTTCGGTTAAAATTTCGTAATAATGATTATGAAAACATTACTTGTATTTGTTCTTCTAACTAAAGGCAACATGATTCTTGGGACGCGTAATGATTCAGTTAAAGGATTACAGACTGATATGTATGGTACGAAAAATGAGATTTTTACAGGCTCAGGTGTTGCAGGAATACCATCGTCGTCTTCCATGTCATCGTCGTCGTCATCTCATGCATCTACTGCATCAGTCGCTTCAATAGCTGGAAATGGCTTATCGGCCTTTGGTTCTGTTGGCAATGCAATCGATCGTAAAGGTTCACTGGCGATAGGCAAAAGTATGTTTTATACTGAACATCCACCTAATGAACTGGGCAGTTCGGGTAAGCTTTTATAAATATAAATCCATAAATCTACATATGTACACCTAAATATGATTTCAACTGTGTGTGCAAACTCAAAGTGGGCTTTAGAATGCTCTGAGCTCGGTATATTAGAAGAAGAATATGATAAGTGAATATGTGTGTCAGTTTGTTTTAATCTTCGTTAAGGGTTGCATGATATTATATCGAAATCTCGTTAAATTTAGGTTAGGCAGTTATATTTTCAACAATGTTCAACTTTGTTCAACGCTTTGTAGGTCTTGCTCCCCGTAACTTCTGTAAAGAGCTCCTTTCGAATTCATGAACTGTTTGAGATTACTCTCTTATATGAACAAATAAATAGCTTAGGGGGTCAAGAATATCTGGGGAACATCATCATACCAATACATTCTTCTTCTTCTTCTTTTTCTTCCTCATTATAAATCCAATGTAATTATCTTTCGATAAAATCAGTCAACCCGATTACTCTATTCGTCTGTGTGATTGTTTGCTTTCCAATTTTGACAAAATGTGGAGGAAACATATATTATTAACTTCGAGATTCACTGACCATAAAAAAAGAAACATAAGTGTTCTCAACTACCGAATCAAATTGTTCGACAAGTGTAACAAATATGCGTAAGCGCTATTGGAAATGTACGCTGCGTGGCCGTCGAATATTGTATAGAGCATCTTGTGAGCTTGTTGAGCTTTAAATTGAGATTGACAGAATACTTTCTGGCCTTATAATCCTTTTAAAGTTTACTGCACCATACGCTTGTAACAATATTTATAGAAAGTAACTACAGGACAGGGCATGCGATCTCTTTATTGGCGGCCTACGCGAACTTAAAACATATAAATGCTTATCATATTACGCCCGTACATATATCATAGATTTTTCAATTACAGTTTCGGTATTTAGTATTGAGAAGGAAGTGTTTTCATAGCTTTTGAATTCGTTGTTAACATTAGCTTTCACTTTTTGTGGTCCTTTTCTTCTTTCAGCCTTCCCTCTCCGACAACCAACGAATTTTTTACCAATTTTTGTTTTCATATTTTTATTACTTGGAAGTCTTCTATGAATCAAATTGATTTGCTATTTAATGTAAAACAAAACAAAACAAAACCAAAAACAAAAAAAAAGAAGAAGATATTAAAGAAAGACTAAAACACGAAATTATACATGCCATATATAGCAATGTTAGCGATAGACATTAAATAAAAAAAATAAAAAATATATAAAAATTACTTATATAATAATCTGTGAGGTTTGTACACACGACACTTAGGCTATAAGTAGGTAAAATTGAGGACAAAACTAAAATAAATAAATAAATAATATATATAAATATACCTATGTATAAATGTATATATATATATATATATATCTATATGTATGTACTTTGTTATGTACGTATTTAGTTTAGTCAATAGTTAAGAAAAATTCAAGCGAAATGCAAAAAAAAAACAAAAAAACAAAAAAAAAATTGTTAAATTCTCCGCAATGGATAAATAATTAACTGCTCAACACAGAACAAAGATATGCCTATTTTAGAAGTGTTCTGTTAGTAGCTTAATAGACGTATTTCACGTTTTAATAGCGCCCTAGACCAATACGACTTAAGCTATGTCCGTTCATCTGTCTGTTGACAATGGGAAAAATTTAATTTTTAAATGAAATTCTTAGAGTTATTCGAAGCCTGACATAACGAGACGGGCCGTTCTCAAAAATATTTTTACTTAACAGAGCCTCATTTACGGGACAATAAGCATATCATAATCGTTTAGAATTAATTACATTTGCATGTACATATAAAGCAAGATATATTAGAATAAAATAATAATGATTTAATTTTGTGCATTTCGACTCTGCACTTAGTGACTTTAAAAAGAATTCTCGACACCTAATGAGACCCCTTTAGCCAACATCGTCCATTGATCCACTGATTTTTTAAATATATAAAACAAATTAAGGAAAAAAAAAAGAAGAAAAACATTGGTCGCTTAAATAATATGTTGCACGTGTGAAAATTAGTTGATCAATCTGCCCTCAAGTTCTTTGAAATTGGTTTAAAGGCTTGCGTCTGTACTCGTTCTTTGACACAAGAATTAACGACTATACCAAAAATATTGATATCTTTGAATTGAATTCCGCCAAGTTTTAAGTCATTCATTGTTTAGGGAGGGGGAGAAGAGGAAAAAGCGGGTTTCCGAAAATTCCTTACTCATTACATTCGTAACAAATTTTCTCTCGAGTCTACGAGAAACGTCGTAACAGGGAAACACACAAATCTGTCAACCTCTGCGCCGATTAAAAACTTCCATAAACCGTAAAGTTTACGGGTCACGTCGTTCGACGAATAAAACTAGTTGGCATGCGTCTAGATATATTATAGAATCAATCTTCACTATTCCGACTTATACGAATTGTGGTATAAAAAACTTTTCTTTTTTTTTACACGAATTTCATTTACTTATACTCAAAAACATTGAAAGTCAGTAAAACAGTAAAAATAAGTCTGAATATTTTTTAGCATTGCATTAATTTAAGAACTATAAGATTTTCGATTTATTAGTGTCCGAATTAGACAATGCATTTCGGCCATTCACAGGGACATTCACAGTAGAGCGAGTAGTTCTTTTTAAACGAATTCAATATTGAGGTATTGCTTATGATGTATCGAATCGGGTAAGAATCGTCGCCATTTGGGTATCTGTTGTAGCGGATACTTTTATTTTTTCTTAATTTCTTTGTCCGAAATTGTGGTTGACATTTGTTTCTTTTTTCTTTTTTTTTTGTTTTCTTTTTTTAGAAAATAGATAAATGTTTTACTTGAACAGAACTTGACTAACTTCGAAAATTGTATCGAAATATGAAATATGAAATATTTCGCTTTAAAGAAAGTCAACACATAAAACAAACGTAGCCCTTTTTTTGTCAGTTTTAATTGCCTTCCGTCACAGTCACAAGCTTGTATGTAGAAAAATGAAATTCTCACTTTTTGTTAAAAAGTTTAATATCTGAAAAAAAAGGAAAAATGTTAAAAGTATACAGATTCCTCCTTACGTGTAAAAGTTTAAATGATTAACTCAAACGTGCCATTGTTGCTTTGATTTATTTTTTCACGGGTTTCTCTCAGTCAATTCCTTTTAAAATTTTAAAATAAATAATTAAAATCATTATGGTGAGAAACCAAAATGCAACTACGTAGTTCAAGTAGCGCAGAAAATTTTGTAGTTGAGACCACCTTTAGCATCAATTTTCATTACAATATGTATGAAAATTAGACCTTGTCACCATAGCATGTGATTAAGCTCAAAAAACGGTATAATCACATTTAACTATGGTCCAATTCAACCCAATGTGACCTTGGGACAAAATATGTCAGATGGACAGACGGACGGATATACGTGCTTAAACCTATCCGTGTAATATAAGATGGGTATAATTGAGGTCCTTGTGGATGTTGCATAAATCTGTGCAGATATATCCTTACCTATCCTACGCTAATAAACTGTTAGGAGAAACGGTTCAAGTTTATTTCAATGGAAATTTTTTTTTTTTCTAACAGTTTATACTGCGTAGTGGGATACGCGAAACGCGTAAATGTATAATTGACTTTTTAGCAATGAAAGGAATGTTCTTTTGTTTTGCTAGTGCACTGGTTCGCTATTGTATTTCTTTGTAATTTCATATCCGTTATCGATATATTGTTATCTTTCTATGCAGAATTTTAATGATATTCAAAACTCCAACAAGAAAAGGAACGGATTAACGTAAATGATCCAAATGTTATATTGAATGAGATTATGGGTTTGATAAGATCGTTCATAGCGAGACTGCATGTTGATGAGCGTTTTAATATTAACGCAAAGGTGTCGCGTTTAAATGAACTTTTATAATATTTTTATTCATTTTGTTTCGATTGCTATCTATTCACAACCTCTTTGCCAGAAACTGTATAGTGTTTTGTGTGTTTATGCAATTTATTTTATCCAATAAGATCTCCTCTGAAGAATAGCAAAGCAAATTGGGTGAACATGTTTCGTACAATGCAACAACGGTTTTAGATTTTTGCGGCACTAAAAATGCATTGAACGCAATATTTTTTTATTTTTACAATTTTATATATATGTTATTTGTATGGAAGGGGAGCAGAGAAAGGATATGGGAAACTTTGCTCGTTAAAATGTTAATAAATTCATAATAAATACCAGTTTCTCCTATAAGATATATGCACATTATTCTCTTCTATCTCGCGTTGAGTAAAAACATTGAATACATTTTTAATTATTCTTGCTTTGACCATTTAAAACAAAAAACAAAAAACAAATTTAGATAAATAAATAAAACACAAAATCTCAATTTAATAATTTGCTTGAAATCATTTTTTTTTTTTTTTTTTTTTTTTAACTAAAACTTGAAATTGAAAAATAATTGTAAAGCCAAAATTCGGTGGAAAATATTTGAAACAAGATATTTTCAAATGATGAGAGCGACAAGATGTGGAAATGTGCATCGAAAATATCGCTGTCTGTAAATTAACTTAACCATACCTGTCTGTCCGCCTACCTTTCTGGTGATGAAATCCTTAAATAAGTTGAAAGTTTCATTGCACAATTTATTTTACATATATCTTTACTAGTATTACTTATTCTTCTTCTTCCTTTCTTGCTGTTGCAGCAAATATTCAAACGTCTCCGTTCTTATGCAATAGTTGTTCAAAACAATCAAAATCCAGGCGACAGCTGCTACGTTTCTATGCATTTCTTGTTTTTTTTCTTTGATAGCCATTATCTTCTTAGCATCGATAAAAGCAGATAATTTTACTCTTTCAATATCATAAAATGCTTAATTAACCGAAACAATTGAGTTCGGTCTTTCGTTATATAAGAATTTTATTGATTTTTTTTAAAACAAGTAAAGAAACTATAGAAGGCCACGGCCCATCATTAAATATCCTACATTACTTCGTTTAACACATTTGTCCATATAATGATTTTTCGAAATAAGGCAAGTTACAAGGGAAGTGATCCGACCCGAACCCTTCTCAATAGCGTTTGTCTTTGCATAAATCAAAACACGTCGCTATACCAAATTTTACTAAAATATCTCAAACATTACGATCTGCTGAGTTGAACACAGGAAAATGAGCCGTTCAGACAGAAGGACAGACAACTTTAAAACGATGCGACGAGAAGCGTTATAATAAAAGGTGAGTCTATCTCAAATCTTTCTCGTATGGCTTTGTATGAAACGTAGTGTAGGGTATAAGGACATAAAATGAAAGTCAATCTGAACGATTAACGCGCCAAGATAAGATAGCTTTTGAAAAATAGCTGAAAACTTGTTATTCACGCACTTTCACGCAAAAAACAAACCAAAGAAAATTTAAGGCAGATAAAATTCATAAAATAAAGGGAAGCGCTTAACTTTAATTCTTAGACGAAACAATAAACCATACGATAAGTGACTTCTTCATAATTCATAATAAGCGAAAATTATATTAAAATTGGCATATATATAATCCGGTATATATATATTCATGTCATGATGCTCAGTTTGTAAGTCAAAGTTTATTTAACTTAAGAAATAATAAATCAAATACTTATGCGAGTTTTCATTTCGATTTTCGATATCTTTTGTTCTACCAATAATAAATTATATATATAGATATAGAGATACATACATGCATACTTATCCGAACGGTATAACTATATTCTCCTATTAATATGACCAAAACTAATTAAAATAAAAAAAAAAAATATTTATATAAAAAAAATAAATAAATAAATGAATGAATAAGAAAAGAATGAAAAAACGCAACAAGAGTAAAAATAAATAATTTAATGTAAATGAAAAATGCTCAGCAATTTACTACGAACGTAATTAAAACACATATGTGCGTGTGTGTGTATGTGCATGCACATAAAGAGATTGTTGGCCAAATAATATTTATATAAATGAAACAATCACGAAATTTCATAGTATTTGGCACAAACAGCGCAAACACACACTCATACGAGTGTTAATGTATAAGTACATGCATGCATACATTTATGTTTATATGCATACGTATATTTGCATATATACATATATATAAATGCATGAATACATATATATATATATATATATATATATATGTATATGTATATGTATGTATATATATATATATATATATATATACTTGTAACTATTTATCTATTTGCATCTGTATTCATTTATCTTTTACATCATAAATCATTATGATTGTTGATCTCGACAAGAGAGAGCAAAATACACAAGATTATCATTAAAATGTTATGTGCAACAACAGTCAGTTTATCAGTGTATATATATATATATATATGTATATGCATATATGCGTGCATATGTATGTAATCACAATTGCAATGAAGAGTCATTGCGTATGTAAATAAGAAAAATGTTGTATATATTATGAAATAAAAGCACTATACAATGTACTTTTATTTTTTTTTATTTTTTTGCTTTTCTTAAAAGAACGCATACTTGCAAACATATCATTCAAAAAAGTGTTAACACACGCAAAAGGAATATACGTGTACTAATACAGGGGTTGATAATGAACTCTGAAGTCATAGTCAGACATAGCTTCGTATGAGAGAATTACAATTGGATTTTGTAAAAGCTTCTCATCTGCACGCGATGTAGATCTGAACTTCTGACATACAAACACAAACACAAACACAAACACACACACGCACACACACACACACACAAATGATCTTCTTAATGACAAGCATTAGCATTTAAATTTCTTTTCACTTAAAGAAAACAAAAATACTGACTGTTTTAGGGGAAGCGCTCTTATATTATTTTCTTTCTCTAATTGCCCACTAAAAGTATTTATTTTTTAACACTTGTCGCCGATCCACAGAACATCAAAAATTGGAAATAAAATTAATTAAAAAAAAGTATAAAGATATGAAGGTATTGGAATATTTGCTATCATAATAACAAGAACAAGAAGAACTTGGCGTTTATATTAATAAACACTTTTACACTTGATTGACTACTGCAACGAACTCAACCAACCTATTACCATAAGGTTAAAACAAAGAAAATAAATGAAAATAAGTGAAGAAAATAAAAAATTAAAATTAGACATTTGCAAAAAAAAATTCTCATAAATTTGATATTTTGTTTTAAAAATTGACAACAATGACTGAGCGCCTGAGGGTATATCTGGGATACGCTTTAACTACAGTAAATGGAATAAAAATAGATGCGTTTGTGCGAGCATATTTTAGTTAATATATTCGGATGAATTTTATTATTATTGTATTCCATATTTTTTTCTACGTCATTTAGCATCTACAGCTATTGTGGGCCTGTCGATGGTTGCATTCGTTTATTTATAAACTTAGAAATGCGATGAAAAGCTAAATTTTAGTTTACTAAACTTTAACTGTGTTTGTTACTTTTGTGAAACAAAATAATAACGCATTGGTCCGGAAAAGAGATGCATTTAAGGATAAGAAAGAAAATAGACGATCGTAGCTAAGGATACCTGCAATTATTGCGGCAACTTAGAATAGGTACGCTTTAGAGAATCTCTGAGATATTACAAATGAAAAATGACAAAATTATTGTGACTTTAATTTCCCGTTGCGATTATAAACTAAATCGTAACTTGGAATAACTACATAGAAATAGAGAAAGAGAGAAATAGAGAAATACACGAAGGATTTGTTTAGCAATACAGAAACACTCTGCAGAAAGTTCATTTCAAATTTTCGAACTCAGATATTTTTGCAAAAAAAAAAAAACGAAAGGACACATAAAACATAATTATCAGCTAAATAAGTATAAATGCCAACAACAAACAACCCTCAAGAGAAAATCCATTAAAACTATTTATTTAGTTTAAAACAGTAAAGTAAAGAAAACAAAATAAAACAACAAAAAAAAAAAAAAAAAAAAAAACAAGAAAAAGAATAATAAAAACAATAACCAAGCGATAAATGTATAAACTAAAATATTTATAATTCTTACATAAATACATATATTAAAAAAAAAAAAAATAAAGAAAGATGCATACATACATACATGTGGAGAGAAAACGATAAACCTGGCAGTATTTTTTCTTCCGATAGATACCTCTTTGTAAAAACAATAATGAATAAAAATGATAACAAAACAGCTATGGTAAGTTCAAGTGCATTTAATAGGTTGGAGGGAAAATTCTTGCGTATTTTAAATAAGCAGATAATGTTTCTCTGTAAATACAAAAAAAAAAAAAAAAAAACCAATAGCTAATTGAGTCATTCGGTTTTGTTTTGTTTTTTTAGCTGCTGTATAATATAAAAGGAGTGTTTTTTTTCCGTTCATCATTTACATGTGGTATTTAAAGTGAAGAATATGTCAGTAGATAAAGTTGCATTTGCGACACTGCATATTGTATGAATTCCAAAAAGAGGGCAACTCATCGGTTGCATGTAAAAATTGATGTGCGATATTTGGAAAAGATATTGTGAGTGTTCGTACTTGTCAGAGATGCTTTAGCAAATTTCGTTCCGGGGATCTGAGCCTCCAAGTAACTGATCGATAATGAGGTTTTGCGATCTATGTTGGAAAATAATTCAAATTGCAGAAGAGTTTGGCATTCATCGTACAACAACTGTTGAAGATCACCTTAAATCTCTTGAGTTTGTGTTAAAGCAAAGTACATGAATAAAATCCGATAGAACTTTCCTTCCAACCTATTATTAGGAAACTTTTCCTAATATTTCTCGTGAAACAAAAAGAAACGAATTTGATTTGCTCTCAATATCGAGATGAACTTGCTGGATAACGGTTATGAATGCACTTTGCACGGGCTGATCAATCGACGTATCGTATTATGTGTGTGTGAGGCATGAATTTGACCTCGTCGTTTTCTAAGAGAGAGAAACAGAGAGTGAGTGTAAGTAAGTACTACTATAGGGTCTTGAATTAAATTTCGATTTATTGATTTGAAAGTGCCGCCTTTAAGCTATGCGCAATTATATAAACGATCAAACTAAAGCGTACACAACATTGTTTCTTGTAACTTTGAATAGATGTAGTTCGGTGCAAAAACAAAAAAAAAAAGAAAAAAAAAACAACCATTTGCCAGAAACTTCCATATTCGTGCTTAATTCGAAGAATGCTGCTGCGCGTTTAAATAAATGCAGGCCATTAACAATGACGAGAACGCTGAATAACTATGGCGACTGCATTCGGGACGACCAACTGGGCCTGTATGGATAGATAATGTTTTGCTCCAACCAAACGAAACAATCGCAGCAGTGTGCTATAAACAATAATTGATGCAATTACAAATAAAATTAG